CCATACTCGTCACCCGCCTCCCGGCGGCCCAACGACCTCGTCGCCGGCTCCGCGCCGTCGCCATGGCCGACGTGGAGGACGGCGAGGAGTCCTGCGCCCTGTCCTCTCACTCCGGGAGCGCAGGCTCCAAGTCCGGGGGCGACAAGATGTTCTCCCTGAAGAAGTGGAACGCGGTGGCCATGTGGAGCTGGGACGTGGAGTGCGATACGTGCGCCATCTGCAGGGTCCAGGTGATGGGTAAGCGCTGTGCGCCAGGCCGCGGCGGCGGGCGGCCTCCACGGGCCCACGCCGGGGAGGAGGGCCCCGGGACGCAGGGCCGTTGCCCAGGCTCCAAATGGTGGTGCGGTAGAAGGTGGTGATGGGAGAAATTACACCCGGTGATGGGCCAGACGAGGCCCGGGCGGGCCGCCCCCCAGCAGGACCCGGCAGTTGGTAATGGTCACCCACCGGTGGCGGCTGCTCCGGACTCCTCTTCCACCGAGACGTCCTCAGGGACTCGCAGGACAGATAAGCGTGAGAAACACAAAACAAAGTTTACCTAAAAAGCGGAGAAAAAAAAGTTCAGCGCAGTCCCCGCGGGTTTTGTATGCTCAAGGCTGTCTGACTCCCTTGAAAGCCATCTGCCATGTACATCCAAGTTGTGTCTTTACGTTTGGGCACTATTGGTGTTCGAACACTTGGACCTCGCAGTTGGTTTTTGTTTTGTTTTGTTTTTGGGTCCAGTCATGGGGCCTGAATTCTGGGCCTGGGCGCTGTCCCTCAGCTCTTCAGCTCAAGGCTAGCGCTCTACCACTTGAGCCACAGTGCTACTTCCGGCTTTTTTTTCTTTTTGCTTATGTGGTGCTGAGGAATCGAACCCAGGGCCTCAGGCATGCAAAGCAAGCGCTCTACCACTGAGCCACCTTCCCACATCCAAGTTGTGTCTTTTCGTTTGGGCGCTACTGGTGTTCGAACACTTGGACCTCGCAGTTGGTAGACTGGCGTTCTGCCCATTGGGCCATGCTTTTTGCTTTTAGTTTGTTTCTTTCTGTTTGTTTTTTGTTTTGTTTTTGAGGGGGCTGGGAGGGAGGGGATGGGGTCTATCTAGTGAAGCCTGCTGCTCAGGCAGCCATACGCATCGCATTGTACTTTTAACTAGAGCCTATAAAATCACATAGAGAGGGCCTACGTCTTGAGGATCATTGAAGAAGCTGTTTTCCTAGTTTGAACGTTTTGTAGCCTGCCCTGAAAAAGGAGAAACTTGGAAGAGAATCACTCGTTTCTTCTTGAGGAATGAGATGTTAAGCCTGTCGAAATCAAGAGATTTCTCAGCTTGTATTCCCTTGTCTCACTCATAAGGGTTGTTTTAAAGAGTTCTAACAACAGTATTCAAATTTTTTTCTTTGTTGCTGGTTTTTGTTTTTGTTGTCCTGAGGCTTGAACTCGGCCTGGGCACTGTCCCTGAGCTTCTTTTGCTCAAGGCTGGCATGCTACCACTTGAGCCACAGCACCACTTCCAGCTTTTTCCGTTTATATAGTACTAAGGAATTGAACCCAGGGCTTCATGCATGGGCAAGCACTCTACCACTAAGCCACATTCCCAACCCCTGTTGCTGTTTTTTTTTTTTTTTAAGTTATTTTAACAGTGATATACAGAGGGGTTACAGTTACATAAGTGCATTTCTTTTTTGGGTAATTTGGTTTTTTTGGGGGGTGGAGAGTTCGGTCGTGGGGTCTGAACTCTGGGCCTGGGCACTGTCCCTCAGCTCTTCAGCTCAAGGCTAGTGCTCTACCACTTGAGCTAGAGTGCCACTTCCGGCTTTTTTCTTATGTGGTGCTGAGGAATCGAACCCAGGGCCTCGTGCATGCAAGGCAAGCACTCTACCACTGAGCCACCTTCCCAGCCCCAGTAATTTCTTATTCTTAGACAAAGTTGTATTCTTAGCTTGAAAGACCTTGGTTGTGGACACAATTCAAGTATATTACACCCACTACACTTTTCCCCCCCATGTATCTAGATTGTCTACAATTCTATCTCTACTATGAATTAGAGTGGCAATTTCTAGTGTGGGAGTCATTGTTTTTTAATTTTGGGGGGGGGGTCCGGTGGTGGGGCCTGAACTCAGGGCCTGGGCCCTGTCCCTCAGCTCTTCAGCTCAAGACTAGCGCTCTACCACTTGAGCCACAGCACCACTTCTGACTTTTTTCTTTTTGCTTATGTGGTGCTGAGGAATCGAACCCAGGGCCTCATGCATGCGAGGCAAGCACTCCACCACTGAGCCACCTTCCCAGCCCTGTTTTTTAATTTTTTTTATTGTGAAAATACCTCACAGAGGGGTTACAATTACATGGGCAAGGTAATGAGTACATTTCTTATCAAGCATTGTTACCTCCTCCTTTGTTTCCCCTTCCCATCTCTTCCTAAACCCCCCCCATCATTTTTTAATATAATTTTATTGTTGTTATTAAGGTGTTGCACAGAGGGATTACCATTTCATCAGTGAGGTAATAAGTGCATGCCTTTCCTTGGCGGGTGTCAGCCTTTCCTTCACAGTTTTTCCCCTCCCATCCCTGCCTAAAAGTTACATAGGTCATTTTTCACATAGTGTATACTGAATAGCATGATTGCCTTTGGGAGTCATTTTTAAGGCTTTTATCTTTTTGTTCTTAGAAAAATTTTATCTTCTGTATCTTGTTTAGTTTAAAGGAAGCTAAACTGGTAGCTCATTTTTGTTTTTAAAAGAATGTACCCAACAGGCCATTTTAAAAGGATTACTCTCTTGAAAAGCTATTTTCTCCATTGAGGGAGAGAATTGTAAATAGTAACTGGAAATGGAAAAACCTAAAATAATATTGAAATTTTGCAACAAACATTACTGAGCTATTTAAAGTAGGTCAAAGTATGGGCTAAAAATGACTCATTAACCTTCTAATTATAGGAGAGATTCTGCTATAGCAAGATGAATCTAGAATATGTACAGCAACTGTACTTTGGGTTTAGAACAATATTCAGGACCTGTGTACAGTACTTTGTTTATGAGATAAATGTTAGTGGTCAGGTGACACAGAAGGAAACTTCCCACCCTAGCATCATTCTGAAAGATGTTACTGTTGTTGTGCTCCTTAGAAATAAGCTGCTTTAGATATTAGAAATAGTAGTGAAGTTTTTTATTTTTGTGGGCACCCATGGCTCATGCCTCTCTTAATCAAAAAAGCTCAGTGTAAGTGTCCAGGCCCTGATTTCAAGCCCCAGTAATAGCGCGAAGATAAATAACTAGAACTTTTTCTGAAACTTGTCCTGCTTCCTCTTTGCTAATGGTCCCATGAGAGGTGGTCGCGCTCAGATTGCTGTCCCCCGTACATGCAAGTCCACACTGAGGGATTAGGGCAGTTCAGAATGGCTGTTTTCATCCACACCATGGAGCGCAGTGGCTGGAGTCAAGGTGGCCATGTTGTTTTAAGGGTCACAGCTTGCAAGAGGAGCAAGCGGATGCCTGCACAGAAACCAGCGTTGCTATTTGCTAACTCCACTGCTGCTATGTTTACCCACCTATTTTCTCTATTTATGCTAAAAAAAATTTTTTTTTGTCCTGTCAATAGTGAATAAAGATACTTTCTTAGTCCCTAAAATACCCCCCCCCGCAAAAAAAGGCAAATTATACTACATAATGGATTTCAGAAACATATTCAACACCCTTAGCTTCCCAGCCCTACTTTCTACTTCCAGGTAATTGGTGAAAATATTTTGCTTATTAGACAGATGACTTAGGCTCACTCAGACTTAACTGGTAAAGAGAGTAGGTTCTTAGAAAAAGCTTAGTATTCAGGGGTACCTGGAATCTGGAATTTGAATATTTGCAAAGCTCTCACGAATGTATATGGTACTTATGCCAGTAAGTAAGAATGCCTCAAGAAAATTTGCTTACGAAAGAAGTAGAAAAATTTCTTGATTTAACTTTTATGTAGATTATATGATCACATATCTAAAAAAAATAAGAAGGTATGTGGTGAATACACCTTCCCGTAGACTTGAAGATTATCTTCTAGATTTTCTTCAGCACATGAGAGTGACTTATTTAAATTGGTATCTGGAAGACCAACTACCCCTGAGGTGGGCAGTATGGGCATAGAGGTGAGCTCACCTAGTAAGTGAGGGTACAATATTGCCAAGCCATCTGCTCATCTGAATTTGTGAAGATAGTGTCCTCGGGAAATTGCTCTTGGTCATAAGTAACATGGTAGAATGCCTTGTGCTTCTATTTCTCTTGAAATAGTTATTTTCAGATGAGAAATCAATCCCAGGCATCTTTTATTTTCCTCTACAACCCTCCGGGCTTGTGTTTGACTTTGAACGGTCTGTCTGGATTTTAGAAATTGCATTCTACTCAAGAGAATGAGAAAGGCTGTTTGTTTGCTTTTAGATGCCTGTCTCAGATGTCAAGCGGAAAACAAACAAGAGGACTGTGTCGGTATGTTCTAATGGCTGTCTTGCTTTTCAACCCGAGCTCAGGGTGGGATGTTTCAATGTGCAGTTAAGGTTGACTCTATCAGTACACAAAAATAAACTGAAAAGCAGTGAGTGGCCTGTTATCTGCATAAAAGGTTGGTTCTTGAAAGGCCTTGACTGAGTCTGTGAGTTCCTGTATTGCTGTGATTAGGAGCTGCTTGCATCTCCCACACTGGCCATAGGGAGCATTTTGCTAATCAGATTACCTCCTATTAAGGAAATTATAAAACAAGGAATTTGCCGAAATAACATTTGGATTTGGGCTATGTTACTGGTCAGTTTAGACTCCACTAAAGCATTTCAGTTTTCAGTGTTTTTATGATGGAGTAATTAACTTTTTAACTAAGGGAGAAAAAATTCCAGGCCTCGGGCCTTCTTTTAAAGAGTGTGGTTTGTGTGTTGAAATCTATAAATTCTTTTTATAGTCTTAGATTAACTACAAAAATTGCCTTTGGCTCCATACTTCCAGCAGTTGAAAGGTTTTGCGTCCTAGTTGTTGTGGTGGTCATTTTTGGGTTGCTTTTTGAAGTGCTGTGGAGTTTCTTCCAGTGTGTCTTTCTCTCTCATTTTTCTAAGCTAGCCAACTGAGAGCTCTTTAGCACTGGCAGACAAAGCAGTGGGGATGGGCGGGGACGGCAGCCCTCCTGACCTCTTAGGCAGCGGGAGAGCAGGGCAGCCATGGCGGGTCCTGCTTCCCCCTCCCAAGGGACTTGGCTGCTTCCCTTCCCTCCAGCCTCCTCAGCCCGCCTCCACCTCCACCAGAAGTGCTTTCTCTCTCATTTCATCTGGCTCCCTTGCCATCTAGCTCAGTGGGCAGTGACATTCAGCTCGCATTGTTCATTGGTTTCAATGGCTCTTAATGTTGCTTGTTTATTTTTATTTTTTTTAAAAAAAAAGGAATGGAGAATTGGGAGAGGAACTTCTCTCCAGCCTGCCCTCTTTGCAGTGTCTTTGTTAGCTGTGTATATTGTCCCTGCCTATGGCCGTCAGACTAGAGCTCATGATCAGAAGTATAGCTGATAGCGTTTACAAGCTTGCCATCTCTTTATAACAACCACTGAACTGAGAGCACGTAAGATGCGCGCTGTCTTGTTAAATAAAATCAATAAAGTCAAACTCAAAGCTGCCTACGGTCCTTTTATGTGTGTGCTTGGGAAGACTTAAGCCATTTAGTTCTGGGCCTTACCACCGATAGATTCTCTAAAAGGATGGGGAATCCATCTCCCCTCGTTCCCCAGGAACCTGTCTCTTAAATGTAACTTACACATGTGAGTTTTGTGTGTTTTGTTGATGGGGATTTTTATTTTGACACACTTAACCATCTTTCTTCACGCTGTAACATAGGCTGTGTTTTTGAGCATAGTGATTTAACTCGCTGTCCTGTCCCCTGCTCTTCTTTCTTTCTCAGTGGTCTGGGGAGAGTGCAACCACTCCTTCCACAACTGCTGCATGTCCCTGTGGGTGAAACAGAACAATCGCTGCCCTCTGTGCCAGCAGGACTGGGTGGTCCAGAGAATCGGCAAGTGAGAGTGCAGCCAACCGGTCCCGGGCAGTGTTGGCAGCCCCTGGAGATGGCTGCTGCTCAGGGCAGGGTGGAGGCCAGGCCCTCCACAGCCCCTGCTCTTCACGCACAACACCTCGGGTCTTTGGGCCTTCGGGACTCGTCGAAGGTGCGATTTAGCATTCTGTTGGCTTAATTTCATATGTTCTCTACTATTAAGAAGATAATTTATTAAAGATGCTCTTTCCTACCTCTGTGTGTCACACGTGGCTGAGAAGTGCAAACGGAAGGACCCTGTCAATTTCCACCGTGCGGGTGTTAAGGGAGCCTCTGTTCCAGAGCGCTGCCCACACTCCAGTCCAACACGTAGAAAAAGAGTCGAAAAGGTGTGGTGAAAAGCCCGCCGATGTTCTCAGCTTGTTCCTAATGTGTATTTTTGGTTGGGAGAGGGAAACCATGACACGTGTATTTGATGTGAGAATTTTACCTTTGGGCCAGTGAACAGGGAAAATAACTGTAGTTTTGCCCTAAAAGGCTGGGATTGGGATTGCCTTTGAGCATCCTGACTCGAGAAAGCCAGGGCCTGCTGACCGTCAACAGACGACCATCTGGGGCTGCTCAGGGTGGTGCGGATTTTAGGCAAAGTATTAATGAAGGGCAGTGTTTCCCCAGGAGCACTGGCCAAACGTTTATTACACGGTGTTTTAACAAACGGTTTATTCAGTTTATTTTGCATTGTTAGAATTTCATGTTCAGCCTTAAACCTAATAAACTAATTTGTCAAATAATGTGAAGAACTTGATATGCTCTTTCTTCTGTGGCAGTCTTGACATTTATTATAGGAAATATAAATGTGTGAGGAAAGACCACTTTTATGCACATACACCAGGGGACAAATTGTGGAAACTGTTCTGGGGGCTGGGAAGGTGGCTCAGTGGTAGAGCGCTTGCCTTGCATGCCTGAGGCCCTGGGTTCGATTCCTCAACACCATATAAGTAAAAAGAAAAAAGCCAGAAGTGGTGCTGTGGCTCAAGTGGTACAGTGCTAGCCTTGAGCTGAAGAGCTGAGGGACAGCGCCCAGGCCCAGAGTTCAGGCCCCACGACTGGACCCCAAAAAAAAAACTGTTCTGAAGTCCACAGAACGAAACTCAACAAATTCAGTTTGCCAATCTGAGTCTTTTTCTTCAGTTTTTATTGTTTATAAGGTGCTATACAGAGGGGTTACCATTACAGAGGTCAGATAATGAGTACATTTATTTTTGGACAGTGTCTTCCCTCGCTCTCACCCAGTTTTCCCCTCTCACACCCAGCCACAAGTGAGGCTCATTTTCAACACAATGTCTAGTGAGTACCACTGCTGCATTCATTCGCCCTTTGTCCTTCCATTTCTATTCCCTCCCCCCAGCCCTCCCAAAGAGAGATAAGTGCACTCTGAGTGTTTTTAAATCTAAGGAATGTCGATTCATGTCAGAATGTTTTAAAATATAATAGAAAACAAATGGAAAAAAATTGAACCAGGTGCTGGTGGCTCACTCCTGTAATCTTAGCTACTCGGAAGGCACAAAATAAAGGGGAAGAATTTGTATACTCAACTACATAACTGTTTGTGGCAAGGTCTTCTGTAGCTCAGCTGATCCGTAATTCCAGCCTCCTGCCTCAGCCTCCCCAGTGCTGGCCTGCACCGCTCTACCCAATCATATTAACTACTTATAAAGAAGATTCCACTATGGGAAGGTGAGCTGTGGTGGCTCAAAGTGGTAGAGCACTGGCCTTGAGCTGAAAAAGCTCAGGGGCAGCGCCCAGCCCCGAGTTCAAGCCCCATGACCAACAAGAAAAAAAGATTCCGTTATGGTTTATATTTCTGGAAATACTTTCTGGTCCATAGAGGGAACTTCCTGCAAACCATTACTTTGGAAAACTCAGAAGGTAGCTCGGCACTTGTTTTAACCATAAAGGAGGTCAGTCCTGGGGGTAGGTGTGAGTGCTCCGTCTTTGGAGGCCACCCAGCCCTTTAGTCTTTATCTGGAAGAACTTCAGAACCTGACTCAGGTAAAACGGCACCTGGAGGCGATGGACCACACAAGAGGAAGAATACAAAAGCCCTGGAGCATAGAAGCTCACACGCTTCTTCAACAGCTTTTACCAGCTCACATGAGAAGCTCTAAAACTTGAGGGGGGGAAATAACAAGAATGCAAAGGTGATGCGTTTTCCTTGAAAGTCTCTTCAATGACTATCAGTGTCACAAACGCCTAAGTGCCCTGGATGAGAAAGACGGGTAAGGCCTGTTCTGTGCCCTTACAACCTTCCCATGCGCCTCGGGCTGACAAAGGACCACATTCATTTCAGATAAGCCCATGGCCACCCCCAGCCCCCACCCCCATTCTGAGAGGCCGTCTGTGGACCGCCCGCGCACGGGGTTCTACCATCGAGGCCAGGTGCACTTGCGACATCAACAAGGGATGTGACTCAAGGGAGTCACACACTTGAGAAGCAGCGTTTGCTGGTGAACACGGTACACACAGGAATGTGGAGACAGTACAAACTAAGCAACGAAGATACTCAGGTGCCCAGGCCTGTTTGCTGAGCTCAGCATCCATGGTGGCCAGGTGAACACGTGTACCCTTGAAAGCACAAGCCCTCCCCACCCTCTGTTAGGGAAAATTTGGGGTTCGTTTCTGTGACTTATTTTCTCTGAAAGTTTTATATTATTTCAACCGGAACAAATGATGCTTCTCACATGTTTCATCCATTTGTATGGTACTCCTTGCAGAAGCTTTTGACCTTTCCAGAAGGTTCCATCCAGAAAAATGAGAAGCGAATCCTTGGCCTTGCAGTGCAATTGTGCGTTCCTGAGGCCAGTGTGTCAGCGCGGATGAATGCGGTCCATGGTGATGCTTTGATCCCCGCCCCTCCCTCCCAGCAAAGCTCCAAGAGGCCTCCGAACAAAGCCCTGCTTATGTTACACACCAGCATGTGAGGGCAGAGGACGGGGGATGGGCACAAAGCTGCGCTGGTCCTCTGCTTCCCTGCTCCCCGACCCTGCCCTGGGAGTGATACCAGCTCAGCTGCGCACCCAAGTTGTGTTCATAGTGTTCTAGGCCTGGTGTTCAGTCAGTTCTGGATTCCAACACAGAAGTTAGCCTTGGACGCTATGTTTCTGTTTGATTCGGTGACAAGCACTACAGGTAAAAAGAAGGAAACTTGTAGATGAGATTACTATAAACACATTTTTCACAAATAGGATTTCCTATTTGAAAGCTTGTCCATACAGAAAGAGAGAGAAGGAAGATTAAGAAAGGCTAACTCGTCAGCTGACTTAGATTACACATAGCACACAGGAGTTCCCATAAAACAAGGCTGGGACCTTTGTGACTCACCTATTGTATTTTTCTAACCATTCATTCAACATGATTTTCAGATTTTACATTAAGAAAAGGTTTGGTCACTGTTGACCTCTTGTTCTAATTGAAGACTTTCCATCTTTGTCGAAAGATGTAATTGAAATTTTACAGATAGGCATTTAAGGGTAGATGCTCTGACCACTTGATTTGGGGTTATCTTTATGGTTTTAATGCAACCGGCAATTTTCATTTGCATAACTCTTGAGAGCAGGAGCGAGCAAGCTTAGGCACAATGATGTTCTCTCTGGCTATGTGCTTAACCCTGAGACCGTGGCTGGAACAGAATCCCCAAGTCCTGGTTGGCTGCCAGCAGCCTTTAGCTGGTGGGCACAGCCGCTGCGCCTCCCAGGGGAGCTGCAGTGTTGGACCGGCCTGGGTGATCGTGCTCCAAACCCCTGACTTCTCTGTGCCTAGTTCTTCAACAAACACAGGAACGGCATTCTCACCTACCTTGTAAAATGCCGACAAAGATCCAGTTCCCGACTTTCAGCCTCTGGAATTGTGCGTGATACATAGAAAGCCCTGTCACCTCCCAGCTTCTCGCCTTCATTATATAATGGCTTGTGGGGGCTTGATGTTCTTGCTGGGCTTTTTCACTCCAGGCTGGTGCTCTACCACTTGAGCCACAGCTCTACTTCCAGCTTTTTGGTGGTTAATTGAAGACCAGAGTCTCAAGGACTTTTCTTTAAGTCCAGGCTGGCTATGAACTATGATCCTCAGATCTCAGCCTCCTGAGTAGCTAGGATTACAGGCATGAGCCACCAGCGCCCGGCTCTATTGGTTTGTCTCCAATAAACCACTAGAAAACCAGAAGTGGCACTGTGGCTCTAGTGGCAGAGTGCTAGCCTTGAGCAGAAGAGCTCAGGGACAGTGCCCAGGCCCAGAGTTCAAGCTCCATGGAGGAAGGGGGGGGGGGAGAAGTGGAGATAAAATTGGTGGGAAAAAGTGAAACCCATCTGAATAATAAAGCCCAGAGGGCTGAAGGCATGGCTCAGATGGTGGAGTGCTTGCCTAGCATTTCTAGAACTGCTAAAACAACGCTGGACCCGGTTAACCCTATCTTACGTCTGTGTTATACTGCGGCTCCCGGAAGGTTTGACACAGCGGCAATGTGAAGCCCCTCTGCTTAGGTAGAAGTATAATTGTGTCTCAGTACTCAGAGCCCCTTGAGAAGACAGGCTCAGGACAGTTCCCATCTTGTCAATCATCAGGGCTTGGCTGCAAATCCCTCAGCAAACGTCACTCCACCAGCTCCCACAGATGGGGCCTGACTGTCTCCCACAGTGCAGTAAGAAGTCCAGGGCAAGCAGGCCGGGCTGGCCCCTGGGGCAGAGTTGCACTGAGGAGCCAGGCTCTGCTTCCTGCTCTTGACTTGGTCTGTGCCCCCTTCCCAGGTCCAGATCAGGCCTCATGTTTATGTTCTTGGGGATCAGGGAAGGACAAGAGAACGTTTTTTTGACTTGGGAGAGGCCCTCCCTGCCATCGTCGAGTTCAGCTCATTGGGTAGAGCAGTGTCACATGGCCAATTCACTGGGAGAACTTTGGGCTTCCTGGCTGAAGAAGAGAAAAGGGGAAAAGCTGGGAAAGAAAAGAGGAAATAATTGAGAACAGATGTTGGCTAAGTCAACCTATTTTATCAGCCACAAATGCATGAACAGTAATGGGCTGGCAGTGTAGCCCAGTGGTAGAACTCACCCTTAGCATATGTGAGGTGAGTCTGGGGTTAAATCCCCAGTGCCATGTGTGAAACAACAAAACCAATGAACTGATACACAGTAGTCACTGCTACAATCACTTGATATTCTGAGACTTAAGAGTTGGGAAAGGGGCTGGGAAGGTGGCTCAGTGGTAGAGCGCTTGCCTTGCATGCATGAGACCCTGGGTTCGATTCCTCAGCACCACATAAGCAGAAAAAACTGGAAGTGATGCTGTGACTTAAGTGGGAAAGTGCTAGCCTTGAGCTGAAGAGCTGAGGGACAGCACCCAGACCCAGAGTTCAGGCCCCACAGCCAAAAAAGAAAAAAGCGTTGGGAAAGAGGTTAGAGGTTATTTCATCTCTGAAATGGCATCTTTCTGTTTATTATGTATGTAGTCAATTATAGAACTTGAACTCAGGGCCTTGTGTTCATTCAGCTTGATGACTCATGGCTGGTGTTCTTCCACTTGAGACATGCCTCCAGCCTAGCTTTTTGCTGATTAGTTTAGAGATAATAGTTTTGTGGCCTCTTTGGCCTGGGCTGGCCTCTAACCACCATCCTCCTGTTACTCATGATCTCAGATGCTTGAGTAACTAGGATTACAGACATGAGCCATCACTGGCACCCAGCCATATATATATATAATTGTACAGCACAATTGTAAATCGGCCATTAGCACATGCCCATTCAGACAC